ACAGTAGCACTTGACCTTAAAAAACATCGATGTAGGGCATACCGAGTAAATGTATACCGAGCAGTGGCAATGAACCTTAAAGAATCGTTGATGTGCTGCATATCGGTCAGTGGCACTTAATGAGATCTAGTATATATTTGAGACATTTACCAAGGCGACTATATGATTGTCAACATTCACCGGTGACAGTCAACAATTACCAATTTCGGCCATTCACAGTAACATATAAAATTCAACGTCATGATTAGACACAGAATATTAGTATATCTATGTTTTATTTCGCAGCTTATGCTTCGTAAGTTTAAAAAAATAGCAAAACAATATGACTATTGAGTCAAAGAAATCACAAATACAAAATATGCTGATTCTCAGCCCAAGTCCAAGATAACCTCCCATGAAACTGAAGAGCTCACTTTCCAGAAAAAAAAGAATTAATTTTATCATTTTGTACTAAAATAATTAGATGAGACAAATTAAGCTGAACCGAAGCTTTATCGCAGGCACAAGGTTTCAGTTATCCTATTAATTATTAATGCTAATATAGATGCTATAGCTCTCCCTATCACTATAACTTTTAGTAACAACTATTTCTAAAAACAAATATTAAAAAAAGAATATACACCGAAGAGCTATTACATTATGACCATCCTGCTTATAACATGTAGGACCACCTTTAGCCCTCAAAACTGCTAGCATCCGCAGTGGCATTGATTCCACAAGGTGCTGATAGGTAGTCTGTGGTACCAAGCGCTCACCAACTGGTCCTGCAATTCCCTCACATTGCGAGGGGGTAGCGTGGCAGCACGAATTTGGTTTTCCAAGTAGGACCACAAATGCTCTATTGGATTAAGGTCAGGTGAATTTGGGGGCCAAGACATGACTTGAAAGTCACTGGAATGTTCCTCGAGCCAATCCATGACGATTCGACCCTTATGACATGGTGCATTATCCTGTAAGTAAAGACCATCCCCCGCAAGAAAAACTGTTGCCATGAATGGGTGAACCTGGTCTGCAACTATGTTCAAGTAGCCTACAGACGTCAGGGATTGTTCTATGAGGATTATGGGTCCCCCATGAAGACATTGTTCCTGGGCGAGAACCCATGATCACCTGGTCGAGCCCATTGTTATAGATGAAGGGTGGTCATAATGTAATGGCTCTTCGATTTAGTTTTGCGCAAAAAATCACGCTCGGATCGAAAATTTTTAAGCGTACGAAGATAACGTGATTTATGAAATATTTCCTTACGTTAAATATATTCGACAGAGTATAGTGGGGTAACCCCGGGTAAGTCAATTTTAGCTAAAATATTATTTCTTTATTTTTAATTTTTTAGCTGCGAACGTCTAATTCTACTTTATTAGTCGAAAAGAAGGATCTACCATATTGGCATATTCATACCCCACTAAACAATAATGCTTTAAATCGATAAGTAAAATAGTCTTGTTTCGTATCGATAACCCCTGCACGTTGGGTATCCGGTCTGGCACTCGCCTAATATTTAGAGTATAATTTTTGTTCATAATAATACAAAAGTAAGTTAGGTAAGAGAGATGAAAAATTAGATCCTTGTGGTATTCCATCAATTTGAAGAAAAATATTTTTTCCATTGTAATGATAATTATTAAAGAGGCAAAAATTTATTAGAATTTCCCAATAATCAAAATCTCAATTGAGGATATTTTTAAAATCATAGTAATAATTCAAAAATTAAGTAGTAATTCCTTTAATTTACACTCCTCAAAAGTGAAATTGCAACACCAAGAAATAATGCAAGCAGCGTCATGCAAATTTCAGGAGCGATAGTAGTGAGATGGATATGCAAATGATTAAATTTGCGCACGCATCTGATCATGTGGTACGCATATTCGGGCTATAAAAGCCAACAACTTTCCCTTCTCATAAACGGCATCTGAGCTTTTGCGTAGCATTTGGGAGTTTCGAAAAAGCGTCGAAAATGCCTCTGAGACGTCGGCGAGCTCAATACCATCAGTTACGACCGGGGAACGTGACCGTATTATCGAACTCCATGAACTTTGTTTGTCGCTGCGTGCAATAGCAACTTGTGTTGGGCACAACGTGAGTACCATCCAACGTTGTGTCACACGATGGATTCAGGAAGGTCTACGTGCACGCCGAAGAGGAAGTGGTGCGCACAGGTGCACGTCAGAGCGCACAGACCGGCGTATTCGCCAGTTGACTATTCGAGACCCTTTCTCCACGGCACGTGCCATCCGAAGCCGGTTGCCTTCAGGAGCAGGTGGATCTGTGTCCACCCAAACCATACGCAACAGATTGCATGAAGTACAGTTACGTGCACGGGTACCAGCAACAGGGGTACCGTTGACCGCTTTACACAGGGCTAGACGCCTGGCGTGGTGTCATCGTCATCGTACCTGGACCATCCAATGGCATCGGGTATTGTTCACGGATGAATCTCGTTTCTGTCTGTGGAGAAATGACGGCCGTCGACGGGTATGGCGGCGACCCGGAGAACGCTACGAACCAGCCCATTACGCCGAGCGTCACAACGGTCCTACACCGGGCATCATGGTTTGGGGTGGCATAATGTTTGATCGCAGAACGCCCCTGGTACACATTCACGGCAGTTTGACAGCGGACCGCTACGTCACACAAGTTGTGTATCCCGTTGTTCTGCCCTTGTTGCAGGGCGCACCCAACACGGTATTCCAGCAAGACAATGCCAGGCCGCATGTCGCACGGCGAACTCTTAACAGCCTGACTGGATTTGACATCCTTCCCTGGCCGGCAGCCTCTCCAGATCTGAATCCCATAGAACACCTATGGGATCTCATTGGACGTGGCATGAACAGAGGACCAATGGCGCAAACCATCGATGATCTGCGCACAGCAGTGGATG